AGGATGACTGGAGCGTTGTCGTTCTGATCCAGAATGAACACGTTCACTGTGACGTTGCTGCTCAGTGACGGAGTTCCAGAATCTGACGCGACAACGTGGAACTGGAAAGTTTTCACTGTTTCAAAGTCAAAACTTTTTAGAGCCATGATGTCTCCGTTCTCTGAGTTTATGTTCAGATTGAATGAATTTAGTTTAGAATGATCTTTTCCATCTCTTAGAATATGATATAAAACGCGGGAATTATCCCCTTCGTCGCGGTCAGACGCTCTCACAGAAAACAGTGATGCTCCTGGAGAGTTGTTCTCAGCAACGTAATACGTGTAAGGGCTCTCTAAAAACTCTGGACTGTTATCATTCACATCTGATATGACAACAGTAATAGATTTTTCAGAAGACAACGATGGTTCACCTGCATCCTTTGCAACAACTGTAACATCATATACTGACTGCTTTTCCCTATCCAGGCGTGATTTTGTGACTATAGAGTACATGTTGTCTTGTGTTGAAGGTGATAACTTGAATGGCACATCCTCTACAAATGAACAAATTACTTTTCCGTTAAGACCAGAGTCTTTATCAAGAACACTAATTAATGCCACTGTGGTTCCCAGTCTCGCGTCCTCTGGTATTGCCTTTGAAAATGATGTCACCTCTATTTGAGGTGTGTTATCATTCAAATCAACAATATTTACCACCACACTTTTGTCTGTCCTAAAAGGAGCAGATCCTTTATCGGACGCTTGTATATCAATCTCATAACTTTCACCTAATTCAAAGTCTATTAACTCTTGAACAATAATAACACCTGTATTTGGATCGATGCGAAAAAGTTCGCGTATTCTGCTGTTCACGTTATTGCCCAATGAATAGATAATATCACCATTGGACCCTTCGTCTAAATCCGTGGCGTTTACTTTTATAACTGTTGTGCCAATTGGAGAATTCTCTTCCAGGAATACTGAGTAAGGGTCGTCTGTGAAAAGCGGCATGTTATCATTCGTGTCTAAGACGTCAATAATAAGTTCCGCTGTTCCAGATTTACTTGGTTTGCCTCCGTCAATAGCTGTTAGAAGCATTTTATGACTTTTCTTTGTTTCCCTGTCTAGCGTCTTCAGTAACACTAATACGGGTATTTTTCCATCTTTTCCACGGTCTTTCACTTCCAAGCGAAAATGATCATTATTACTAAGTTTATACTCCTGGACCGAAAACTGACCAACATCCGGGTCGCGTGCTGCTTGCAGCTGAAGGCGCAAGCCTGGTAAAGCTGACTCTGAGATTTCGAGACGTAACTCTGTGCTGGAGAAGCCAGGAGAGTGGTCGTTCACATCCAGCACCTCCACGGTCACGTAATGAATTTCAAGGGGGTTTTCCAGCACAGTTTTGAGGTTTATCAAGCACACACTGCTCCGCTCACAAACCTTCTCCCTGTCAATTATTCGGTCAATATACAAGATCCCGTCGTTCTGGTTAACGTGGAAAAATGATTCTGTTGAGCCCTCAACGATCCGACATCCTCTCTCTTTCAGTGCGTTCATCTCCAATCCCAAATCCTTCGCTATATTCCCGACAGCAGTTCCTTCTTTAGCTTCCTCAGCGATCGAGTATCTGATCTGTGCCGAAGCTCTGCTCCACAGCAAAATTAACGAAACAATGGAGGCGACACACCACCATTGCGCTCTCGATAATCCAGGTCCTTTATTTCCCATAATTAGTACATATGATTAATCCGGATTATTCTGAAAAAACGACTCTCGTGTAACAATAAATATAGATCCTCAAATCATACGTAGAGTTTCCAGTGCATTACAACAAATGCTGCTGCGAGCGTACAGGATGCATCCAGGACTAAAATGTGAAAACCCTTCCCACAAAGGGGAGGACTCGTATCTCTGACAAAAGGCTTCTCCTGAAACACTTTTCTGGTCACACACTGACACCAAGTGATCACATCTCGCTTAGTGTACTCCCTCGTAAATATGACTGAGAATAATGTTTGCATATTTAAAATAATACAGGCAATTTCACCTATGAATGCGTGTGGCTTATAAAACAAATAATACAGAAAAATACGGTTTCAGCACCATGGATAGAGACATTGTCATTCAGGCTCGCAGGTCGAGCCGTTCCCCCAAAATATTCAACATTAAATCACAGTAAAATGTGTCTGCCGCTTCCCCAAATCAAGCAAAAGTCATCCAGCTTACCTCTCCAGACGTCCCCCTCCTGTCAGGCAGCACTAGAGTATTGGCATGGCTTCCTGGGACTATAGTAGATCCTATACTCATCCTGGGTCCAACTAACATGTAGCGTTTGTCTCCAGATCTGTACTGGATGCTGTGACACAGTGTCCCATCATAATTTGGCTCTTGTAGATATTTAGAAGTGAAGTCTGTGGACTTTGAGCACTGCATTGAAATCAGCACGATGATACTGATGAGAAAAAGAGCTGAAACTGAGCCCAAAGTTATCATCAGGTAAAAAGTCACATTATTGTCCTCATCTGCTTTTGTTGAACTTTTCACATCAGAAGCTGCAAAAGCTTCTTGCCTCGTCTGTCTCTGTGAATGAGCGAAGTGTTCTGATCTGTCCTGTATAGCGGTCCAAACCAAAGAGACTGTGGTCAGTAACTTCCTGCAGTGAAAACAGTAACCAGCCGTTATATCCTATATCAGCGTCATAGGCTCKGACTTTAGTCACCAAGTGTCCTGCGTTCACATTGCGGGGAATCTCCTCCACACCTTCAGCAGAACCGTTGGAGCTGACTGGATACAGGATGACTGGAGCGTTGTCGTTCTGATCCAGAATGAACACGTTCACTGTGACGTTGCTGCTCAGTGAYGGAGTTCCAGAATCTGACGCAACAACGTGGAACTGGAAAGTTTTCACTGTTTCAAAGTCAAAACTTTTTAGAGCCATGATGTCTCCGTTCTCAGAGTTTATATTAAGGAAAGACATTATATCACTTTTACTCCCTTCTCTGACAATATGATATGAAATAGCTGCGTTTTCATTCAAATCATTGTCCGTTGCCCTCACAGATAAAATTGACTTTCCAGCAACATTATTTTCTGACAGATATAACTGTATTGGGTTTTGGGAGAATTGTGGACTGTTGTCATTTACATCTGATATCTGAATGTTAAGAGTTTTAAAAGTAGATAAGGGAGGTTCACCACTGTCAGTGGCTTTTATTGTGATGTCATAATTTGACACCTCCTCTCGATCCAAAAATCGCTTAGTGGTAACTGAATATGTGTTTTCCTTATAAGAAGGTTTCAGTTCAAACGGAATTTCGTTTGTTAAACTTAAAATAACTTTTCCATTGATACCAGAATCTTTGTCCCGCACACTGATAAGTGAAATAACTGTTCCAGGTTTTGAATCTTCAGACACTGTATTTGAAAGTGATGTCACTTCTATTTTGGGTGGATTGTCGTTGACGTCCTTAATCTTTACAATAACTCTACATCTTCCTGCTAATGGTGGTGTTGATTTATCTGAAGCTTGAACATCTAGTTTGTAAATCTCTGATTCCTCAAAATCAAGTTCACCTTTCAATTTAATTTGTCCGCTCAAACTATCCAGTTCAAATGTCTCATAGATTTTACGTGCCATTGTTTTGCTGAAGCTGTACTCTATTTCTCCATTACTACCTTCGTCTGGATCTGTTGCATTGACCTTTATAACAGTAGTTCCAACTTGAGCGTTTTCATATATTTCTACTTGATAAGTCTCCTGACTAAACATTGGACGATTATCATTAATATCTAGAACGATAATAGAAACATTCACTGTGCCTGATCTCGGAGGTTTACCTCCATCAACTGCTGTAACAAATAACACGTGTTTATCCTTCTGTTCTCTGTCTAATGATTTCTTCAGCACTAAAAATGGTATTTTATCTTCATCGCTCTGATTAATATCTATTTCAAAGTGATCATTTGACGTTAGTGTGTATGTGCGGATAGAGTTTATTCCAGCATCGGGATCACGGGCCGCGTGCAGTTCGAATCTCGTTCCTGGAGAAGAATGCTCTGCTATTTCAATTTTTTGTACCTTCTCTGAAAAAATAGGGGAGTGATCATTCACGTCAGTGATTTCTACAAGTACGTAGTGTATTTCCAGAGGGTTTTCAACGAGGATTTTCAGCTCTATTAAACATGCACCGCTTCCCTGACAAAGCTCCTCCCTGTCGATTTTCTTTTGAACCTGTAAAGCACCATTGTCCGGATTTACCTCAAAAAAAGTGTCCGTAGATTCAGACACAACACGGAACCGCCGATCAACCAAAGAGCTTTTATCCAGACCAAGATCCTTAGCCACATTTCCAACAACGGTTCCTTCTCTCATCTCCTCGGGAATAGAGTACCTCAGTTCAGCCGCAGCCTGCTTTCCGATGATCAGCGTGAAGAAAAAATATAAAGCAAACCGATGCTGATTCGATTGAAATCGCCGTATCCTCTCCATCGTTATCCAGCAGCACATAAACACAGTGAGACCTGTTTCTGCAGTAATTGGATGGGTATATCGAACCCTTTCAGGATCGCATGTTTAGAAAACACTCCACAACGTCTCATTCGATGCACAGCCTTAAATCAGATGGACCCTCTGCTGTGGGGTACCAAACAAAAGCTTTGTGAGGGGAGGGACCAACTCCTTCATATGGCCTTATTAATGTAACAGTGACACCAAGAGGAAACATTTTTGCCGATTTAAAGTGGTCATAACTTCTCCCTCACTCATAAAAAGAGAATCAGAGTAAATCAGTGAAATGTTTTATCCAGAAACAATACAAGCAACTACAATACAGCAGGAATAAAGGATCAAGGGAGAAAAACGTTGCCAAATAATTGTTTTAGCTTCGCACGTTGGTTGAAACCAGAAAAGTCAGTGAATTTCAGCACCATGGACAACGATCACAAACACACTGAGCCGTTAAATACACTGTTTTCTTGATTCCTGGAACTTTTGCACAATTTCAAGATGAAATTTGAGGACACTAACAGCCAACAGCATGGCAAAGCAGGCAGGTATAGAAGTTCGTTACTGTAGTGGCAAAGCTTATTTTTTAAATATTGCTATAAAATAGTTTAAAATTAACCAAGACTTAAACGTTTTGTATCTTACCGGGAGAGAAATTAATACAAAATAAATGTATCAAATAATATCTGTGCGTAACAATCGAGAGAGGTGTGTGTGTGAGCCTCTGCAATGAGAAAACGTATTCGTGCAGCAGACAGCGGGTCCTGCGAGCAGAAGCAGGAAGTTGAGTGCACGTCATAGTCAGCTGACAAAATTAAATCGGTTCTGGTAGAAAGAATGGACGCTTTGCCGTGTCTCAAAAAAACTCCCAGCACAATGTTTACAAGGTGAATAAGACGAGACAAGTCTATGAACCTCAATAAAGTGATCCATATCAGAAACAGCAGTTTAAAGTCTTACCTCTCCAGAAGTCCCTCTCCTGTCAGGCAGCACTAG